GCATATATCTCTTATTAGTGGTAACGTTGGGTACAAACATGGTAGAATACACTGATTATAAAAGGGCATAAAAGGTAAATAATAAACCTGCAATAAAACATAGTAAACCAGATTATATTGTGCTCTATTTCAAACAAATATGACATCTAAATATAATACACAATGTGTGAAAAGTTTATTTTCTGTCCACTGCAAGATCCTCAGTGTGAAATCAAAAACAGGACAATCATGAACTAAACAGATGCAAAAGTATTTTTGGAGTATTTCTATACACATTTAATGATGATTAATTTTGATGAAGTAAGGGTATCGCTATACCATATTCCTCTCTGAGAGATTAATGTTTAGACATTGAGCTATAAAATAAAGTAATTCAAGTTCAAATCAAATCGTTCTGTTTTTGTGGTAATCCATGCCTTTCATGCAATACGTGGGTTTTTGCAGGAAGTAGAAAATCATCTCACTATGATAAACCATTCAAAAACGTCTGCCATCTTGGAAATACTGCATAATTGTTCCATATTTGGAATTTGCAATTTCTAATAAGCTGGGAGGTAGATACTCCATATAATACAGAGACAGACATATAATAATACTTACTTTCAGGTAATTTGTCATGTGTCTAATTCCACATCTTTTTCCATAAGCATGTGTTATAACAATCACCTGCAAATGACAAGTCTATATTTTAATGTTGATCCTTAATAAACTATCTTTGAGCTGCGAGTTGTCCAAAACTACAGTGAAACAGCTGAGAGAACTGTTTGGCCATTTTTTCACTGAGTTTTCGTAAGTTGAATGTAATATGAAAAAAAATGTATTTTCACTACATTTTATTCATTGAGTCATCTCTTCAGCAAAAACAGAACAAATTAATTCTGAGTGAAAATAAAGCATTACAGTAAGTATTTATATCCCATTTGAAACGTTCGTGTCACTTAAAGGATCTTTTATCTTTATTTATCTTTGGTAATACCTACTTTATGTCCTCTTTCAATAAGGCACTGTGAAAGTTGGTATATGTGACTTTCTACACCACCAGTATTTGGGAAGAAAAAGTCAGAAACCATACTGTAAATAACAAAAATATCACTACTATGTTATCAAGTGTACCAAAGAAAAAGTCAGAAACCATATTGTAAATAACAAAAATATCACTACTATGTTATCAAGTGTACCAAAGAAAAAGTCAGAAACCATACTGTAAATAACAAAAATATCACTACTATCTTATCAAGTGTACCAAAGAAAAAGTCAGAAACCATACTGTAAATAACAAAAATATCACTACTATGTTATCACGTGTACCAAAGAAAAAGTCAGAAACCATACTGTAAATAACAAAAATATCACTACTATGTTATCAAGTGTACCAAAGAAAAAGTCAGAAACCATACTGTAAATAACAAAAATATCACTACTATGTTATCAAGTGTACCAAAGTTAAAAGTAACAAGTTCTTGTGAATTTTCAATTTAAAAAACATATACAAAGTTTAATCATGAACGGTCAGAGATGTGGCATTAGAACAGCCTGCAATGAACCAAAATGGCCATTACAACCATGCCCATTTAGAATCTAGATTAAATATCAAATAAGAATTTAGGATTGATACACACGAACAATGTACTGATATGATCTTTTTTTTTTTGCATGGCAAAATGAGATTAAAAGTCCTTATGCAATAATGTTACACAATAAAATCAATCATGTACTATATTAATTTCAATGTTTGTTGCAGAATAATATAAAACAAGTCATTGAAAATGACACAGTCCCCGTTAAATTTTTAAAAGTTCTCTTTGTGCTCGTCATATTAAAGCGGAGGGGTTGTTGCAAGCGTGTCTTTGAAACTTGAGTTCGAAGTGGCACATACAACAGATTGTATATTTACATCAAAACATGTGTTCGGTTTAGTAGTAATATGGCCAAAAATAAAAACAGCCGTTATTCGGCCATCTTTGATCTGATTATGAAACACACTGATATCTATGATGTATGTGCCAAATACGAATGAAAATTACATTACATAAATTGTGCAAATATAGTAGTAAAGCCAAAAAATCAGATGGCTGTCAATCGGCCATCCTTGACCAGATTTTGAAACAAATTGTCATGGACATGCATTCTAACATGTATAAAGTACATGTATGTGCCAAATTTGAATGAAAACTGACACAGCATGTCCAAGATACCGCATAAAAAAAAAAAGATGCCAGCCAGTCGACCATCTTTGATCCAATTGCGAAATAAATCGTCATGGACATGTATCCTAACATGTATAATCTATGTACAAGTTTGAATGACAACTGACAAAGCATGTCCAAAATACAACATTTAAAAAAAAACAAGATGGCTGCCAGTCGACCATTTTGAATCAAATTGCTAAACCACTGCATGTGCATATGTCCCACATAAGGTACTAGGCACATGCAAAGAATGAACAGAATCGGTCCACAGGATTATGAAATATGACGCTGGACAGACTGACGCACGGACGGACGGACACACGGAAGGACGGACGGACGGACACACGGACGGACGGACGGACGGACACACGGACGGACGGACGAACGGACGGACACACGGACGGACGGATGGACAGACTCAGGAACTCACGAACGGTCAGGGACATGTATCCTAACATGTATGATCTATGTACTAAATTTGAATGAAAACTGACAAAGCATGTCCAAAATACAACATTTTCAAAAAACAAGACGGCTGCCATCTTTGATCCAATTGTGAAATAAATCGTCATGGACATGTATCCTAACTTGTTTAATCTAAGTACCAAGTTTGAATGACAACTGACAAAGCATGTCCAAAATACAACATTTTCTAAAAAAAAGATGGCTGCCAGTTGGCCATTTTGAATCGAATTGCTAAACCACTGCATGCGCATATGTCCCACATAAAGTACTAGGCACATGCAAAGAATGAACGGAATCGGTCCAAGGGATTCTGAGATACGATTCCGGACGAACGCACGGACGGACAGAGACCGAATTATAAGTCCCCTTCGTCCGAACGGGGACTAATTAATTGCATGAAATTTCCCAATATATTGAAAACTACATAAATAATGGTAGGATTATCAAAGAAAACAATTTTAAGTGATATTTCATCATTATCTTAAAATATATACATAGAACACATACCCCAAAATTGAACTTGGCTGAGATACCAAAAAGGTTAATATAATATCCATGCAAGTTTAACGCAAGAGGGTCGTCACCTGCGCATGCACAAGAATTGAGTCCCAAGCGATGATAACACACGCTAAAAATGCAGAGGCTCATGGGTAGACGCTTATTTGTAAACAATGACACGCTATGGCCATCTGATGCATGCACAGGTGACGACTCCCTCGCTCGAGGTGACGACTCCCTCGCTCAAGGTGACGACTCCCTCGCTCAAGGTGACGACTCCCTCGCTTTAAAAAAGATTGGATAAAAATTGTTTGAGTTGACAACAATTCTAGACATTTTCCTCTCATATACCTTACCCTTCACATATAAACAAGGTAAAAATGTGATAATTTACCTGCAGCTTGCAAGGATGTTATACAGTATATCATATTCTTGTCAGCTGAATGTCAATTTTGTGACATGCTCGAACAAAATAAACATGTGACACTGAAACCAGGGCTTGAATTTTACAAAGGCATCAAAGGCCCTTGCCTCCTTGGACCATTTTATAAATTGTGGTTTTGGAAATAAATACCCTAGCAACTCAGAAGTTCGAGCCCTGTGAAACCACAAATGGACTTTATTTGGCAGACTAACATCTTCAGACAGGACTTAGCTTGGTTAAGCTTTTCTAGTATTAATTAAGTAGTGCCAGAGGTACATTACTTGGGGTTTGCAACGCGCATAGTACTGTATGGTGGCATAATGTCAGGATCCCATTCATGTCATTTCGTAGATAGCGAGACTGATGCTACGACCTTCTGACATAAAATAGGCGGTTTGTAATAATCAATAAAACATGTTCTAACAACTACTCGAAAACCAAGAAGAACAATCTAATGTTCTAAATTATTGACGTTGCGATAGCACCCTCTTGTGGCGATATCTCTGGATCCTGACTTTCAAAGCGAAAGTATACGTAGTTTTCGTTGTGCATATTCGATGCAAGTTTTCCAAAGTTATTTTAGTCTGACCCCGGAATAGAGGTATGCATAAGTAAATATTCATGTTTCTACATCATTCAATGCCAATTTGGGCTTAATTTTGATTTCAGTTGACTTCATATTTCCATTTATTCTGAGCCAGTTCATGCACTTTGAAGTAGCGGTCGCAACATTCTATATTAGAACACGAGATGTTGTTTATATTGTTGGACATCAAATACTTGTAATAATTCTATTTTTTAAACTCCATGTAACACAATTTGTTAAGAAGTATGTGATATATATTTATCGTCGCACTTGCCTAATGCAGTGAGTTTTAAAACTTGAGTTTTTTACAAGCGAGATCTTACTTTTGACGTGTATGTATATCGAGGCGCCGTTATGTGATTATATAACGGAAACGTTTGTACTGCATTGAATTTATTTCGCAATATTTTATTGAATTTTTAGTGAGTTTATTTTGTGTTGTATTTCTGATTTATTACAGTTTTACGTGAATTAATGAATAAAACGATTATTGGCAATCTACCCCTGAACGATGTTGCTAATATATACTATTCGCCACACATGTATTACCACATTCATAGTGAAAAAATATAATACATCGAAAATGTACAGGAAATATAGTTATCGTAATCCGTCATATCGTGATCCACCTGGACATCCCAGTATCCTAGCCTCGAGCATGCGCATTCGCATTTTTCTGAGTCGGAACGCTTATGCAAGAGCGAGATTGAAAGGGGATTTTGGTATCATGTCACCGTAGTTGCAAAACCCAAGTAATGTATCTCTGGTAGTGCACAATGTCCATGATTTCATTTCATTGTTGACACATTCATTTTATCTACGTTATACTTGTGTTAACTACATTATTTTTTCTAATTTTGCTTTAGTTATAAATGTGCTTTTTTTTCTCCAGTTTTTACATTCATGGAGAATTTATCCCAATACCCCTCAACCATAGAGGTAACTCTGGCCGAGTTCGGCGGTCACCAATTTTACTACTAGTAATGTCACTTCCGGGTCACTTCCCACAGTACGACCTCGAAAGGGGGCCAAACACTTTCAAATAAATCGTCTACTAATGGAATGGCATTATTTATAGAGAAACTCACCAAATGCAGTATTTTTTCTCGAATGACTCGCACATTTTTCCAAAATCTTTCAGTTAACCATCACCAATGCCAGTATACATGTATATATTGTTTAGCAGGAAGACATGTTTCCACCTCTCTCTTGACAGACTGTGAGGGCGATCACTTCTAAATACACTTCCGGTTCCACGCAGACAGGTCGTTTTCCCCAGCTGGCGTCACTGGCTGCCGGTGTCTGCTATATTGTTACATGCATCGCAAGGGGACAGTGTGGTGCTCAAGTATTTTCGTATTTGGACTGTCTAATCACTACATAAGACAGGACCCAAATCATCACGGTGTTAGATTATGTTGAACGGTTCGTCGTCGTCTCCCAAAACAGTCGCCATGGGGCAAAATATTCAGGTACGACCACGTTTAGTTCTTGCCGCTATCGTGACATTAGCCGTTTTCGTTTTATTCGTAATTCTTCGATCGTGTAGTTCTGAACAAAATGCATCGCGTGACAACTTGTCGTCAGTGCCGTCTTCAAGCCTTGTCATGAAACTTCAGCAGAAAAACAAGTACAACTCGACGTACCCAATGTCAAATCCCGAACAGACAGCCAGTGGCATCAGATTTCGAATTGGGGTCATTTCTGATTTAGACGAGGCGTCAAAGGTTGAGGATAAAGACAATATGTGGAAGAGTTATTTTAAAAAGGGTTATCTTACGATAAATAGTCAACTTGATCAAGTTCTTGTTGAATGGGACAGCGATGTTACTGTGCTGACGTCGACCTTGTCACAGGGCGGACGTGGCATGGAGTTGTCAGAATTACAAGTTTTCAATGGTAAATTGTACAGTGTTGATGACCGGACTGGTGTTATATACCTCATCGAAGGAGATAAAGCAATAGCCTGGGCAATAATGCCTGATGGCGATGGCAAAGTTGCAAAAGGTAAATTAAAAAAAAAACAATTTCCATTATGTAAAGACATCAAGGGATGAACCATTTGAACTCTTGGGGACGGAATTGGCGGGGGGGGGGGGGTAATTTGTAATAAAAATACAGTAATTTTCACTTTCTATTAACCTCACTTCAAACCTACTATAGGCACAACAAACCTGTTCCATTAATACATGTATTTATACCGGTAAATACTAAATTTGAATGGCAGTTAGGTTAGGTTAAAGGGTAAGGTTAAATCCATCCAGTGCATCAATGAACACAGTTTGCAATAACTTCATTTGAAAACATTCAATCACAGTCCCTCTATGGATTGTGTTCCAAGAATTCTTTATCTGATTTGATGAGCAAAATTCTGCTGATTTAAAAAAAAAATTGCCCACAATTTAACTTCGCATAGAAATGCCATCTTGACCTCTGTTATGAGTACATAATATACGATATAGATTTCTCACGGTTAACTCTGCACTGTGGACTAATGATTATTTTCATTGACTTCCTTTGTTATCTTTATGTAAATCATTTGAAGTTAGGTAGGAGCATGGAGGTAAAAAAAAGGGGTAGAAGTGTTTATGATGAAAAAATTACCTAAAGGTCACTGTGACCCCCGTTTTGATGATCCAATTAAAATCGTTACTGCTACATGTATATTTCAACATTTTCCTCCAACTTTGGACATTCACAAATATTCATTTCTAATGACATTATAACAGTAAACTGTCATTTACATGGTATTTATCAATCTGTTTAAACTAAGGACTTTGGGCATTTTTTATTTTATAATTTTTTTAAATTTTGAATATGTATTTAATTATTTATTTTATTTATTTATTTCAAATTACCATTTAGTTGCAGGTATTTCTCGTTGGCTTTTACGATTACTAAAACTTTAAAAAAACTACCAGCGAAAAAAATAATAAAATAAAACAAAATGTATGGGGAAATGTATACAAAAAACCAAACCAAATTTTTTTTTCAGATTTGGTACTTAATAGGATTCCTTGTATACCGGTAGTACTTCATCAAAACACTGTAAATCGGTCTGTAAATTTTTGTGATGTGGTGTGTTCACATTTCCAACAAGTCATGCTGAGACTTTCTGTCCAAAAATTTTACGATCTGCCAAATTAACAGAAATTCAACTCTCACAAAATTAAAGTTGTTTACAGTAATACACATATTTCTCAACATCAGTAATTACAAATCACCATTAAATTGTTATCAATGTTTTAATAAATTATATGTGTGTATTGGTATATTAGCATATGCCGGTGTTTTCCATTTGGATGGTATTTAGTTCGGAACCATATGTTTGATGAATGATGTGGCAACCTTTTTATGAATGGTACACTTAATCCCCCACACCTTATGGCACCACTATTCACACAATGTGGATTGTGGTAATCTGTACTATTTATAATAATGGCAGTGTGTGTGCATTTTGTAGAATACAGAGTCTTCAAAAATCTAACTGTCCATTTCTTTCTATTGAAATGCTGAGTGGATGTCATGCTAATGTATGTCAGATCTCTCCATAAGCTAGATTATATAAGGTTATTTTCTGTGACTTGACAAATTACAAACATTCCACAAATCAATTGCTCTCTTAACTACTGGTACATGTATCTTTAGTTCACGTTTATTTATGAAAAATTGAGTGTACACTGCCATTATGACCACAACTCAGGGGTGGGTACCCAGTAGTAGAACATGTGCAAATACCACTTGTGTTCTCTATAGAATATAGATACCAGGTAACTCTGCACATAGCAAATGTACATGTAATCTCTTCATTTTATCAACACCCACAATTAAACAAAAGTTTGCAAGTGTATTTTGCACAAATTATTTGAATCACCTTCAATATCCCTCTTCCATAACGAAAAGATTGTTGATGTCTGAATCATTCATTGCATGTAGGCAAGTAATTTTTCATTCTGTGTTAAGCCACAATTTGTAACTGCTTATATATACCGGTAATGCATTTTGCCCACAGACCATATTCCAGTTTTGGACTATGTGACAGGGTTTCCCTAAAGTCGCATTTGTTTGTGAATGAACCTCAGTCGGTTGATTTAGCCTTCTCTGTTGACTGTTTTTAATGGTAGAGTTTGAACTCAGGTTTACCAATCAATGGTATAACCACTATGCTACTGATGGCTGGTTGATCTCACATGTTTTACATTTGAATGTTTTACTTCAGAAGAATATCCATTCCCCGTAATAATAAAATTACTCTTATTGCAGGCTTCAAGGGTGAATGGATGGCACTGAAAGATCAGATCTTGTACGTTGGTGGACTGGGAAAAGAATGGACAACTACTACAGGAGAACTTGTAAATCTGAATCCACAATGGATAAAATTAATCACCCCTGATGGCGGTGTCCATCATCTTGAGTGGGTTGAAAACTATAATATGATGAGAAAAAAAGCAGGGTGTGAATGGCCAGGTTAGTGGTTATTTAAACTCAGTATGTAAATATCTTGGATGTAATCGACATTGAGATACCAACCATACCGGTACTTTGCATATTTTAACAACAAATTTGCATTTTGTTATGAATCAATTGTCATCAGCTTGTTAATTTTTCTATTGATACAAGAGTCACTGATCAGATTACTGCTAACAAACTTTTATTTTATTTTATGAAACTTATTAGATGGTGGTTTCACGATATGATAGAAACATTTGTTTCCTTTGATTTAATATACAATGAGTTAGAACAGATGATATATTTTGTGGTGCAATGTGTCATTTTTTTACATTCTGGCATACCTCATCAATGGAAAACTTTGTTTTATTGATCATTTTCATGAATAATGACGTTAAGTTGTCTATTCCAGGCTACATGATTTTTGAGTCTGGAGTATGGAGTGAGATCCACCAACGATGGTTTTTCTTGCCTCGTCGAGCAAGCACTGAAAAATATGACGAACTGTCTGATGAGCGGCGTGCAACAAATCTCCTAATATCGTGCAGTGAGGATTTTTCAAACTGTAATGTTCGCAGGATTGGCGCTCTTATCTTAACGCATGGATTCTCATCATTTAAATTCATTCCTGGAACAAAAGATGCAGTTATCGTAGCTCTCAAGACTGAGGAAGATAAAGGGAAAATCAGTAGTTACATTCATGTTTTCAATATAAATGGACAGATTATTTTAAAAGAGACTAAAATAGCTGACAGCATGAAATATGAAGGCATTGAATTTATATAATAAGTGGCCATGGAGTGGAAATGTTGTATGTATTATACATTCCAATCAATAAAATTAAAAACTGTATTCATCTAAAATATTGTACATAATCACACATGGTAATGCTTTCTACTGATTGGGGTGAATGGGTGGGTTGGTGTATTTGCTAGACATTTGGTGTGCATCATGCCATTTTTAACACTTCTTAAACAGTTCTTGTCTTTATACAAGGAAAAAAACATTACTCCTGGTGAAATATGAAAATTTGTCCGCAGCTTCCAGTTTCAAACGCTTACTGTAAAGGGGGTAATTATTCACTGGGTTTTAATTTAGCTTATTTCGCTGACTGGAAAATGTGCTAAATTAAAACCCAGTGAATATGTAAAATTTAGCATAGAACACATTACCTAAATGACGAAACCGTGAATTTAAAACCCACTGAATATGCCTGAAATGGTCAATCAGTGAAATTTAAACCCAGTGAAAATTAATCATTTTACAGTACTTAAATTGCAAAAGTGCTTCTATAGACAAAAAGTAATGTTTTAGTGATTCAATATCTGACAAATATGTCTTTGTTTATATTTTCAGAGACCTCTAAATTAACTTATAGGCATGTAACTTTGATTGGTAATGCTCTCAACACATTTTCTGTTGACTCCATGTTATTACGGGTACCCATGGAGACTTTCAGCAGACAATAATAAAATACATGTATAAGCATGGTTAATATTATGTTTTGCATACTGTAAAAAATTAATTATTCATTGGATTTTAATTTTGCTTATTTCGCTGACTGGAAAACGCACTAAATTAAAATCCAGTGAATGTTAAATTTAGCATAGAACACATTATCTAAATGATAAAATTTAAAACCCACTGAACATGCCTGAAATGGTAAATCAGCAAAATTTAAACCCAGTGAAAATTAGTCATTTTATCATATGTAGCTTTTAAATGAACAATTGAATGTCATTTGTTCAGGTGAAACCAGCCATAGTAACAGATGTTTGAACACATTTGCATGGCTAATGAGGTAAACCAACCAATCACAACTAGGCAGTTATTGTAGTTGACTTGGGATGTCTTCTAGGCCAACAAATGTCCAAGAAATTTTTAATTATCATCAAAGCTGCAAAAATTGACAATATGATGTAAATAATTATGCTAGTTTTTAATTTGTTGTGAAATGTTAAGGATAATGAATAAAAACAATTTTTAATACTTTATGTTCTGTAGAACACGATACAAGTGTTAATGTCACTACAAATATGGTGTTTACATTACCATGGTCATAGCACCACGTGTTTCGTACTTGAGACGTGTGTAATATGAGAAAAAAGCATTGTTTATTAACACAAAATACCTTCTAAAAGCTGCTATGGGCATACCAAAATCAATGAGTAAAGTGTCGGCAGGCAACATGTAAAGAGGTATGCAACTATACTGTTCATTACTGTGATGTGTGCTATGTTACAAAAAAAAGTGAACTAAAAATGCAGGGTCATCATACAAAAGATTAATATATTTAATATACATTAATTTATTTTATCATTTTCCTGTAGGAGTATATTTTACAATCACTTATAATTGTTTTTAAGTGTTAATACTGTGACACTTTCTCCAAACTTGTGCTTGTAACCAATTTTTACATTAAATATTGCTGCATAATATGTACACATACAAAGTATCTCATTGAAGCTTGTGTTGAAAGCTATACAACAGATTACTGGAAAATATATTCTTCATGTAGACTAGAAATTGAATTAGAATTATTAATTTGATGCAATTCGAATATAAAATGGTGTTTTTTTAGTTTTGTTACAGTGAAATACTTAATTTTTGCCGGATTTTACAATGTATTTTTTTTTGCTCGAGTTTCACATTTGATGTATTGGGTGTATGTACTGTAAAATATTGCGAGAAACTGCATTTTCAGTTGTGGAATTAGCAAAAAAATTATTCATCTGCATATTTGTATATAAATTTTGGGAATAAACATAGTTTATCATCTAGATACACAAAGTAAGCATCCATGGTGAAAACAACCAACTTTGTGTGTTTAAATTTTTGGTGGCAGTCTGAATAACTTTAGCATTTAGATATTATTCTGCTAACTGGAATAAAGGGCGATAGTCGTCGCATGAGATGTATTGCTATTGTATATCCAAAGATGGCCACTTTGACTGTTGCCCAGATCAACTAGTACAAACTGAGACGTTTTAAGTATTTTTATTAGGAGATTAGAAGGTATCAAAGGAGTCGCAGATAGTAATTACCTTGCCCGTACCATCAAAGATGGAAGGGAAAAGATATATTAAGGGGAACATTTATGTCCTGCGTCGTCGTTAATCGTTATTGTGTGCACAAGAACTTCATCAAACTTGGTCACCTTATTCATCAGTATAATTATTTAAGTTGATAGTTAACATGATAGCTATTCATAGATGAAGTTTTTTTTTTTACTTTTAATATAAGGCAGTTCGTATTTGTCTCAGTGAATCATTAATTTTTTACAGACGCCTGTACAAAATGCTTTTTTGTTGTCTTGCATGTTTTATGAATCTATTCACGTCTAAATGCAGCACTTTTTTCTTGGAGATGAGGCATTTGTTTTTATACTAAAATATCTGAATACTTTAAATAAAGCTGGAAATTATGTCCCTTAAAATTAGGCACCAATGTTTTTGTAAGATATTTACATCTATCAAGGATATTTGGTAGACAGATTCCCACTGTTTCAACCCCAAAAATTCAAAATTATGACAATGCATATTCATATTGAAACAAACTATGCTTTACCTCGCTTACAGTTCTTGTTCTCACTTGGGATAATAAAACGGCACTATGACCAATAACAGCCATTGTGGTCGATAATTCTTGACATTTGCTTCCATATTAGGCCAATAGCTGTGAATTAAATACTTGCACCAAGTTTTCTGTTCCGAATAGTTGATCATACACCTACAATCATGACATCCTTTCGACTATTGTCAATTTAGCTTTTTTAACGTGATCGTGAAAACTAGTGCGACTGCAAAAGAAATCCCGACTGGACGCATTTGCAGGCGACCCCTGGATTATTGGGAAAACCGGAGCAGAATCATTCTGGTGATTATGCTAAATAAAGTGCTTGACTAGCGACAACGAATCAGAGTGCAGCTGTACAAGTCGTATCTTATCTATGTTAATGTAGGTGACCTTTCACTTCTGAGGTCCCGACATTTAAATAGACTTTTTCAGTAAACATGGAAGAAAGTATCACCTTCACACTTAAGTATCCATCTTTACGATCAAATCTACCTTTAAAAGGTCACATTTACTTTCTCACACCCACTCATGAATAATTAATAGCAGTCAAATGCCCGCAGATGCGTCCAGTTGGGATTTCTTTAGCTGTCCGTTTAATTTTTGCAATCATGCTAAAAGAATTAATTATTCCTTTTTTGTAACACAAAAAGGAAGTCCCGACTTTGCCAGTCTACCTTCAGACGAGTGTTGCCATAGATGCAACTTAAGTATCCGCACGGATCCTCTACAGACATACTCTCACAAGCTTATTTTGGTTCAAAAATGTACACATTACCTAAATTGCATAAAAGTCAACAATTTCAGCTTTTTAATTAACTGTCTCAAAAGCAACATTTCAATGAAATTTTGTACATGCTTGAAATTTGATTAGCTTTTTTTTACAAATATGTCCACAACAAAAACAAGATGGCTATCAGTCTAGTCAGGACTAAATTGAGTAAAATGTCCAAGTCGATATAGTTTTTGACAGGTTTTCGTGGGTGGTGAGGGTATCTTGTCTTGCAAGAGTGAAAGAATACAACAACATTTAAAATTATGTTTTTATTTATTGCTCATTGAGCAAATGGTGGCAGTTCAGTTGGCAGCTAATTCAACTGAAATGTAAAAATGTTCTGGAAGATACAAGACAATTATTTCCAGTTCTGCAAATATCACAGGAAATAGTTTGTTCGAAATATGGCCATGGATTGCAAATCATTCAATATGCCATGTTCAACAAAAAAAAGACTCTCTGTAATTCTGTCTTGTAATATAATTTAACTGCCATATTTCCGATCAATGTACCTAAAAAAAAGTGTTCCAGGTTACAACCCCTGGTGGTAATGTAGTACAAAGCACAGTCAACAATCAACCACTGGTACATATCGTGTGCAATCTGTTAATGTTCAGAAAAATAAAATTTATCGAGTTTTGGAAGGGCACTTAAACTTAAACGGTAAACTTGGCCTCAAATCTAGAAATTGTAGAAAAGCAGGAGAGTACTTGATCAGATATGGGTACCCACTACTCAGTCACGCAAATACAGTGAATGTGAAGGTATATCAACATCTAAATTTCCTTTTAAAAAAAACAAAATTATAAATTCAAGGGGCCATTTTCTAAATTTTATTTGGAATAAATTCAAGGAGTAGAAAATGATCTCCAGATGGTATTGGCCTCACTTTAATAAGATATGTGAAAACTGACATGATATAACAAATTTTAGTGTGAAACGGACAAGAGTATGAATTAAAAGCAATCTATTTTTAACTTGTTTCATCACAAGTACTAACAATTCATTATTCATGTTGTGTTGTGTTGTGTTGTCAGAACTACATGTGCATTCTACTTTTCCTTTATGGTCTACACTGGCATTCATTGAAATGCAACATGCCACTGACTGGTGGGCCAAGTACATATTTGGTTCAGTCCAATTTTTGTATATTTTGTTGCTTTAAATGCAAAATAAACATTAACATGAGTAGTATGAAGGTAGTTATTGGGTGGTTTAATTAAGCAATTATAGAAGGGACACACATGTAAGCATGATACTAAAATAATGTAATGTGATGCTCAAATGTGTTTTACAATACTGAGCACAAAATTTGATTTTACTGATTGATCCAGGGCAAAAACAAATGTAATTTTGTGTAGCATACAATACTGGTATTATTGACAATTAGTTCAACCAAATGACTCTTTATGGAATCCATTGCCACAATCTTCATACAAGAGACTACTAACACAGAACAGAGCAGAGCAGCATTGACTTGTATAGAATCCGCAAACTGATAACGACCAGCATCTTCACTTTAATAGCCAGGTGTACATTACTGGTCAGCCAAGTTGTTCTTGTCACATCACAATGTTCAGTAAAATTGCCATGAACTAGGTCAGGACAATGTTCTAGGATTCTTGACGACGTACATTATATGTTTAGAGACAATTTGCAAGTTGTTCAGTTCAGTATAGAATAGCTGCAGTGATTTTGTATTTCAATGTGCTTGTTTTACAGTCGATTTAGAGTTCTCTTACATCAATATCTGATCCAATTTATTCTAATAATTTCAGCACTTTACCAATTGCAATTGTTTTACCTGTTAACAGAAAAAGATGTAGTATTCAGTGATTAACTTGTATCAGGGTCAAGGGTTATTTTAAGATACAAACCACTAATAACCTGGTTTTGGACGTTTGTTCTGGGAATGTTAGTGTACCCCAAAAAATATGAAAGTGCTTATCTGTATTTGCATACTGATACTACTAATTAATGCAAGACTAATTGGCATCTTTTGTTTTAGATACACCAGTAAATAAATGAACATTATCATATTTTCAGTTTTACTCTGGTTTTAAATTAAGGTAATTTATTGATTCATAAAATTTTATTTTGACAACTCACCTTCATCTCTTAATGTAAATCTTCCCATCTGAGGAAAGTCTTTGAATGTTTCCATACAAATAACACCAGAAGTTTCTAATCTTGCTATTACAATTTGATCTTGTTTTACAAATCGTGGTCTTTGTTTGCTTCTAGTTCCACTTTTCTTGTCCACGAGAGCTAGTAAAGCCTGCAGAGATAATTACAACATTAATTAAGATCTTTGAACTGATACAAAGTGGCTATATATATTGCAATCAAGATTAAAAATGATCTTTCATCATTCTTTCAATAGTGTTCCAATCAAGTATCAGACTGGCAAGTCTTGCAATTTTTAACCACATTATTGAAATCTTTTCATTACTTTTAACTGGTACAGCACAATTACATTTATATTTACTAATAACTTGCACATTTCAAGAAAATAATGCAAGAGTTACAATTGTAACATACATGTATAAGTTATGAAAATATCATTTAACGACAAACTCAATACATACAAAAAATTGTTTCAGGTTGCAAATGGTGGCCGAAATTTCTTGCATTCTTTGTCAATATAGCCCAACATATCATAGAATCTGCATTTTAAACTAGCACTCTCTCAAAGCAATGGGCATTATCATGGCATAGAATCTGCATTATAAACTAGCACTCTCTCAAAGCAATGGGCATTATGATTATCCATTGACACAATACATTGATGAGAAAAGTTCCGATATACAAGAGCGGTCTTTTGTCTCACTGATCAGGGAATCAATTCTATTGGTCAATGTTAGTGATGATATTACCAAGATTAGCCAAGATATTTTCCTTTTAAATTGCTTGAAGAGCAATATACTTTAGACTGAATAAGTGTTACAGCCGTTCTGAGAATTATTCGGACAGCCAGTTAGTAAAATGACTTGCAACTTTGCAAAACACTTTGGTCTTTGCCCAATCTAGACTTGTCGGCGCCACTTGAGTGACGGGCGCGTGGTTTGGGATTACTATTTCATAGGGGTTGTCAGCTTGGTGAATTGTAAGTATTATCTAGCGTGCGTTCAGTAATTTTGAAAATCACAAGTTGGATGGTGCTTAAATCTGTCGAAAAATGTCAACCCCTCGCTCATTTTAGTCAGTTGTACCTGTTACAAAAATGGACTAGACATAATAACGGTCGTTATACCCCGTCATTTTCAAACTGCAGTTGAAAAAGTGATTCAATCAAGGAAGGCACTTTTGATTTGACAAAATCCATCAAACCATTATAATCGAGTTTTCCGTCTGTGTATTCCTGACGTACTCACAGCACCAGTAATGTAAAAACAACTTTTAGTTTGGCGCGAAACTGCAGCGTGTCCCGCTAAGAAACTTTACTTTGAGCCTTCCTGCCAACGACGAGTTCATTAATACCTGGGTTTACTCAACACTCGGGAGTTGTTTTGTAAATTACGATATGTCCGGTGGACTCAGATGGTTATAAAAATTTAAAATAACACTTTGAATGCATATACAACATATAACCTGTTAATATATGGTAACCAGCGCGTGTAGTTTTGAAAACAACGTTTTACCCGCATCTTGCAAGATAATGGAATGATTCCAATTGTGGGCGTGTCAATACAACGGCGCCATCAAGTCTAGATTGGAAAAGACCCAATTGTTTTGCAAAGTTCCAACATATATTGCTAACTGACTGTTCGAATAATTCTCAGAACGGCTGTAAAATCCTCCATTTATCCACTGAATTTAACCACTTATTGCATTTAAGAGGCAACATTATAACACAAACTACGGTCACAATTTGAGCTGTACTAAATTTGAATGTGTACACTGGTTGGAATACAGTCAAGTAAATAATTACCTTAATTTGAACTTCTTCCACACAAGTATGGATATGCATAACTGCATTAAAACCAGGACATATGATAGACTTGTATTCTATAATAACAATCTGTAACAAACAATATCATTGTCTATTACAGGTTTAAATCTCAGAAAGGATTATAGACCCAACGATTCCTCACTAATAAAATGCAACTAATTTATTAAAAGTGCGGTACGTTCGACTTTATTTACACTTTATTTTTTAACCTTTCACATTTTCCATTCTGTACTTAAATCATTTCATAGCATCAACTTACTTGTGCATCAAATACTCTCCCAGTATGACAGATATTGACAGGATCACACAACACAAACCCAGATAAAACATCCTGTATACAAACAAATAAATTAGATTATGCCATTCATTACATCAGTTCTACAGAGCAGTGTTCAGTTAATTTTTTTTATTGAATCGCTGAGTATGACAACTAATATTCGGGACAAGAACGATTCATCATGAACACTTCAGTCTTTTGTTCTAATACACTAAAATACTTGTAAAGATTTATGAATATAATGTCATTCTTGACATTTTAAGAACAAGTTTTTATTAAGACAGTTTGTAAAAGCTAATATAATTCAATATGACAGGGTTATTCTTACATCTTCCTCAACTCCTTTTACTTTAATTTTAACATTTTCGCCAGTGTTCGCCACTGTAGCGTCATCGTCATCTGAAATGACTGCTAAGATCTCAACAGGCATCTGTAATCAAGAGAAAGATTTGGTAAACTAAGAGAAAGATCATCTAGATGTTGCTTCTCCAATCTGCATACAATCTCTACATGTGTGTAAAACTTTATCCAGTAATGCCCAAATAATTATGGATCATTTGAAAATTTAAGCACATCTTTAAAGGCCACAAGATAAAACTGCATTTAAATCATGATCGTATTTCACTTGGTATAGTATGCTAGTGTCTTTCATCACGTACCCCCGCTCCATATACAACATTATATAACCCCCCTTCAGCGATAATTACCCATTTTATTACTGATAGGGACGATATACAGGATGAAAATAAACTAGCATAATACAGTAAAATACAAGTCAAATGAAAATGACACCGTCCCCGTTAAGTTCTCTTTGTGCTCGTCATATTAAGAGGGGTTGTCGCGAGTGTGTCCTTGAAACTTGAGTTCCAAGTGGCGTATACAACAGATTGTTTATTTACATCCAAACATGCGTTTCGTGTCATAGTAATATGGCCAAAATAAAAACAGCCGTTATTCAGCCATCTTTGATCTGATTATGAAACACACTGATATGTATGATGTATGTGCCAAATACGAATGAAAATATAGTAGTAAGGCCAAAAAGTCAGATGGCTGTCAATCGGCCATCCTTGACCAGATTTTGAAACAAATTGTCATGGACATGCATCCTAACATGTATAAAGTACATGCATGTGCCAAATTTGAATGAAAACTGACAGAGCACATCCAAGATACCGCATAAAAATACAAAAAGCCTGCCAGTTGACCATCTTTGATCCAATTGCGAAATAAATCGCCATGGACATGTATGATCTATGTACTAAATTTGAATGAAAACTGACAAAGCATGTCCAAAATACAACATTTAAAAAAAACAAGATGGCTGCCAGTCGGCCATTTTGAATCGAATCGCTAAACCACTGCATGTGTATATGTGCCAGATAAAGTACTAGGCACATGCAAAGAATGAACAGAATCGGTCCAAGGGATTCTGAGATACGACTCCGGACAGACGGACAGACTCACGAACAAACGAACGGACGGACGGAGACCGAATTATAAGTCGTCGTTTTCGGACTTCGTCCGAACGGGGACTAAAAATATGATTCCAGTTAAAATTTCAATAATTAGAGAATTCATACATCAAGCACCCGTGAATGCAACAGTTTCCACCAATTAAAATAGAATTCTTTGCATACGTGCAACAAATTTACAGTCCTAATAGTGGTTTAAAATCGGATGCAACATTCATAGCCACACTGGTGGACTACATAGTAATAGAGTGAGTCATTTAGCCAACAGCTAAGATTTGTAAGGAACTAGGCAAGAAGAGGACGTTCCAACAAATACTACATACCTTATTAGGCATAAGAATAACAGACTGCCCTTTACTGATACTTCCAGATTCAATTTTACCCAGCAAGATAGTTCCCATATCCTACGAAGACAACCATTCAAGGATTCTTAATTATGTATACAGGTTTAATTTTATCATTCAAGACAGACTTCTTGAATTATATTCATCTCAACCACTTCAAGGCATGCAAGTTTGTTTAAGCTGTATTCAGTATATATTAGTTCGTTTTCAAATCACAGAGTATTTCTACCCTATTATTAGAGGGACAAGAACATTCATCATTAACAGCTTATTTCAAATGCATCCTTAACACTTTGAGTGCCAATTCTTTCTCTCAAAATACAGTAAATTTGTTCTCATTTTTGGTAATTTTCCCCGATTTCAACTGTAACTTTGAACCAAACAGACAGAATACAACATTGCTTCTAGTTTTTGATAAAAATAAAATCAACATTATCAGTGGAAAATAACTATTTTGTGGATGATGCCTGAAGTTGACTTTGGCATTCAAAGGGTCAAAGTTGAACTCTGAGTTCATTCTGGAGATCTTTGAACTACTGTGTGACCTTGGGATAATATGAATGTATGCAAATACAGACAATACGAGAAATAACCCCTTTTCTGAATTTCTTTGTGTCACAGTAATTCAGAAGAGATGCAAATTTGCAACATACGATCAAATGGAAAGCCAAATGAAACATTTGAATGCGCTGAAATATTTTAAAAGAAGGCTTCACAAATAATCTGAGGGTGCAACCTTTAATTAGTCCAAGGGTTATTTGTCGTACACAAAATGTCAGTATCAACAGAAATCAATGCAGGCTTTGAGTAATTCATTTAGTGAATATTATTTACATTGTGAGTTGTCTAATGATCATTTTTTAACTACAATAGCACCAATAAAATACCATGCACAGTCTTGTAGCAATCTGAGAATATTCCAGACTTACTTTATATTTATCAGTTACAGGCATTATAAGAGGACCGTCACTACTCCTATTTAAGGGAGGCAAGTTTTCTAAATAAGGAATTAATGCTGGACCTCTGTAAGAAAACAAAAAAAAAAATACTATTAGAGAAAGATAAACATAGCTGGGTTACATGGATAAGTTTTTTTTTTTATTTTTGCATTTTTAACAGATGACCTAATATGTTTGTGACATTGCTATAAAACTATATGACCATTATATTGTGCCAATATAATGAGACATGAAAATTCATCTTTAAAAGACATTTTCACACAAAATAAAATACAGCCAGCTGGGAAACATGAAACTTTCAACCAAACTAGATTTATAATGAAAAGAAACCACTTACTTGTACCAGGCGCCAGAAGATTGTGATCTACATTTCAAATTTTCACCAGTCATCCCAGATACTGGTATAAAGTAAATATCTTTCTTGGGATTAAATCCTACTTTCTTGAGAAAAGGGATGAGTTTTGACTGGCATTCTTCATACCTGAAAAGTGAATTGTGCCTGGTCATCAAGGTGGTCCCATGACATGAATCAGGAATTGTCAGTCACCAACATGTTTGCTACAGTAGTGGGCAAGCATTCATTCATTCATTGCTTGCTTGCATTAACACTTGTCTTGTAATCTTCAAAAATGCACCATGCATTTTCACAAGGTGAACAAGTCATTGTCAATGACACGTCCCCGTTCCGTTCATATTTGAGTGACATATACATTCAAAGCAGATCATGACTGAAATGCACCTGTATATGTACAACACATTGTACTAAATCTGAACAAAATCCATCCATGCATGACTGAGATCCGGTTCCGGAATTGTGAAAATATGTGATTTTGATGCATTTTCGGCCTTAAAATGGCCATCATCATTCAGCTATTGTTAAGCGGATCATGAAACAAATGCACATATCTATTTGTGACATGATGTACAATGTACCATGTGTGTGTGAAGTTTGAACTTGATCAATCCAGGCAAGGTCCTATTATGTTTAATGTATGTACCAAATTGAACAAAATCCGTCCATGCATAACTGAGATCCAGGTCTGAATGGTTAAAATGTGCGATTTCAATGCATTTTCGGCTTTAAAGCGGCTGCCATTTGGCTATCGTTAATGAGATCATGAAACAAATGCACATACATATTTGTGACATGATGTACCTTGTGTGTGTGTGTGAAGTTTGAACTCGATCAATCCAGGCATGTCTCAGATACGGATCCAGAACTGAATTCTTTAAAACAAAATGGCCGCCAGTCGGCCATTTCGAACTTGACGTGTATCAAGGTCCTATTATGTTTAATGTATGTACCAAATTTGAACAAAATCCGTCCATGCATAACTGAGATCCGGGTCCGGAATGGTGAAAAAATGCGATTTTGATGCATTTTCGGCCTTAAAATGGCCGCTATTCGGCTATCGTTAATCGGATCATGAAAAAATATGCATGTGCATATGTCCCATATAATGTATGATGTATGAGTGAAGTTTGAACTTAATCGGTCCATGCATGTTCGAGATACAGGTGATCACGGACGCACAGACGCACACAGGGCAAAACACAAGTCCCCGTTTTCGGACTACGTTCGAACGGGGACTAATAACACCCATACATAAAAATAAAACGCATGTTCACCATGACCTACCTTTCTTCCGACCATTCCACCGTTGGGTCATCCATCTTATTTATTAATACTACTAAATGTTTCACTCCCGCAGTCTTGGCCAACATGGCATGCTCTCGTGTTTGACCTCCTCGCTCAAATCCAGTTTCAAATTCACCTTTACGAGCTGATATCACCTACAATATGAATTCTCCATGTTTTACACTTGTACATATATAAAACTTCTGAGACTCAAAATGTAATGGAATCTAAAAAGATTAATTTATCTATAGTTATGCCATATTGGACTTTATGTCAGTTACTTTATGAGTACCACAATAAATTAAAAAACAGAATGACAACTATTGAGGTATGAAAAACATAAAACAAGACATAAATGGAATGACAAGAAACAAGACATCAATTACAAGATTCATAATGTCATGGTTACCAGTATATGGAGCGATGTTCAGTTAACGTTCTTTAAAGAATCATTGAGTACATGAACTCTAATATTCGGGACAAGAACAATTCATCATTACCTTGAGCCCCACAAATGAAAACCATGATATTTAATACAATCTGCAGATATAAAGATACAAAAATGTTCTTACTAAAACTGCTAAATCAGCCTGGGCAGCACCGGAGATCATATTAGGTACAAAACTTCGATGACCTGGTGCATCCAAAATTGTAAAATGTTTTTTTTCAGTTTCAAAGAATGCTCTGCCAACTTCCACTGTTTTTCCTTTGTCTCTTTCCTCAGTATTAGTATCTAGTGCCCATGATAAGTACCTTTAGAATGAAACAAATTGGAATCTTTCAACTGGCATTCTATACACATCAGCAACAAATACCTGGTTCACACAGATTAGAATTACACCATTGTAGGGCCAGTCAGAACATATATTTCGGTTGCGATCACATGACATTAAAAACGCCGGCGTAATGTGTAGCACCCCCTCTGTAGTTCGATCAGTGTTTGAACTTATTCGTACCCTATCGCTACGGTCATTATTTTCAATTGCACAGTTCTGCGGGTTTATCTCATAATTCCTTGTCTTTTTGTGCATTAATCCTGTAAACCTGGCTATCATGGGAGGTTCCGTATATCATTCTAAAAATACTTTCCTCTTGTCAAATCAGTAGCAAGACTTCATTTTTTATCCAATTATTTCAGAGACTACTTGTTCCATTGACCAGAGCGGTACGTGTATCACTCTTCATCATGTCGTTGCTATGGACGTAGACATGAATTCCCGATAGAGGGTGTTTATGCCACTGTGCGTGTTCACACACACTTTTGTTTAGAATTTAGGCCTGAGCTTGGACTCTGGTCAGGAGTTTACGCCGGTGTAAAATCCGCCATTTTTACACTGGCGTAAACTGGTCACATGGTAAAAATAACAGTCGTTAAATTACGGCAGTGCTACAACGGCGTAAATGTTACTTGTGAACCAGGTGAAAGTATCACTTGGATGCATCAAGCAAAGGCTATTTTGTATGTTACTTCACACACATCTTATGTATGGTGTAAATGTTAAATACAAGCATGCATTTACAATGGTGTACAGACTATTTACTAACCAACTTTCCCTGTTCTTTTCCTTAGCTTCTCTTTCATATTTTTCTAGTGTCCTTTTATCCACTTGTCCAGTTAGGTACCTACAAAATAGACAACATTTTCATTGACAGTCCTTATTTTTTTAAGTGAACTCTTTTATGAGCTTAACACTAGATATCCCAAAGAAAGGGGTGGATTATGTGTTTAAGAAAAACAGTTGCAGGGAAAAACAAGTCATTGTTAATGACAGTCCCTGTCCAAAATTTTGTGATCCAACATATCAATTTGATGCTGATGAAGTCATTGAGATTAGATTGAAACCTTTAATAGGAGACGGATTTGTAAAAAATTATGATTTAGTGCTTTTACACGAGAATTGGACAGTCATATTGAATCAAATTACAACAAGTCATTGAAAATGACACAGTCCTCGTTAAATTTGTGAAATTCCTATTTGTGCTCGTCATATTAAAGCGGAGGGGTTGTTGCGAGAGTGTCCTTGAAACTTGAGTTCAAAGTGGCATATACAGTCAAACCTGTCTATAAAGGACAGTCAGTGGACTGAGCCAAACTGTCCTTTATAGACAGGTGGTCTTTACACGGAGGTGGCCTGATTTATTCATTCAATCATGAATATTAATTAGGGCGGGAATTTTAAGGGAGATCATAAGCAAAACAAAAAAGCAAACCTACACATTGTACAATGAATAGGTCTTTTTTAATAAAAGTCGCTCGTTTTCATCTGGATAATTACACAGATTTACTTTTTTACTACAAATTATATCATGTAAATTCACTGAAACCAAGTGATTCTGCCCATGGATTCATTGGTGTATTCAATGCATAAGAACGATTGTCAACTATCGGCCGCATTGGCGTTTCAGCTCGGCCTTTCACACTCTTATCCCCCAGTCTCTTACACATATTCCATCACAGTCGGTAATCAGTCCCATTGTTAGTACTGTCGATTGTACACTGTGACAACATGCACAGGCAAAGTTGCCGTGTTTGAAAAAACAAACAAGCAAGCATTAAAAATGAAGAAGCATTGGTAATAAAAAAAATTTGTCAAACTCCTAACGATTGCTCCAGCTCTCGGTGTTGAATCAGAAAGTCAAACGAACCGGAAATGAAACACGATGATTGTACACGCAATTTTACAGTTATTTGTTGCACAGTCCCTCTATCATGGGACTGTGTTTGTTGCAAGCATCGACGTGTCAAAACTGCCCAAACGAAACGAATTCTCGATTGCGAATTATTAATATTACCTTTTATAAAAAAAAAGAATTAAAAATAGAAAACATCTTCTGTTGAGAATAACCCTGAGATGACCCCTCAGTAACAATATGTTTTGCCAATGCGCTAGCTTCATTAGCATAATTTATAACTATCAACAACAAACAACATGGCGCCCAAAATAAGTCTGATTTTGGAATCCCGCGATGAAAATGAAATAAACAAATGTTTTATTATTTTGTTTGGATATTTCATATCGACAAGGTAAATAAAACATCTCTCATTTAATAAAACTGGTTCATTTTTCTTTGTTTCGAGACAGGTGGAATTTGCTGCTGGCCGGCTGGGGATCGATAGTATAGTACCGATCGGAAACAAGCTAGTTTTTCATTTCAAACTTTGAATGAAACTGTTTAATTTGTTGTTAAAATCTTTCCAGTCTCCAGACGTTACATTCAGATGACATTCAGATGATATTCAACTTTTTTTTACTTTTTCGCAACTTCACAAACCAAGTTGCGATGGTCACCCCTGTCTATTAGCCCTAAAGATTGCATACTCGGTAATCTGAACGTAACATGTGGCCACTTTCCTGTTAGCAATTCGCAAGTAGCTATTGTCTTTTTGCTGAGACCGTCTGATGGAAATGTTGGTGGTTGTTATACAAAGGTTAAAGTGTGAATAGGTCTACAATAGGGTGGTCGCTGGTCGCGTTGGACAGGTGGTCGCTATATCCAGTGTCTTTAACGTGTAAATTGCGAAGGGACTGTACTAAGGTGGTCGCTATGAGCAGGTGGCCGCTCTGCACAGTGGTCGTTAACACAGGTTTGACTGTACAACAGATTGTTTGTTTACATCAAAACACGTGTTGCGTGTAGTAGTAATATGGCCAAAAATAAAAACAGCCGTTATTCAGCCATCTTTGATCTGATTATGAAACACACTGATATGTATGATGTATGTGTCAAATACGAATGAAAATGGTACATAAATTGTGGAAATATAGTAGTAAGGCCAAAAAGTCAGATGGCTGTCAATCGGCCATCCTTGACCAGATTTTAAAACAAATTGTCATGGACATGCATCCTAACATGTATAAAGTACATGTATGTGCTAAATTTGAATGAAAACTGACAGCACATCCAAGATACTGCATTAAAAAAACAAAAAAAACAAGATGCCTGCCAGTCGACCATCTTTGATCCAATTGCAAAATAAATCGTCATGGACATGTATCCTAACATGTATAATCTATGTATCAAGTTTGAATGACAACTGGCAAAGCATGTCCAAAATACAACATTTTCAAAAAACAAGATGGCTGCCAGTTGACCATTTTGAATCGAATCGCTTAATATGCATAATAATATGCACAAACAGTTCTCATCTGAAAAGGGACTAAAAACTAGAGAATGCAGTGAAAATTTTGAAGCAAACTTACATTATATGACCTCCTATGGTAGACTTCCCAGCATCTGAAAATCAGTGTAAAATACAGGATAAGACTTGCTTCATTCTTTGTCTTTCCAGTACAACATTTTTCTTACATTAAATTGCACGGTATATGCCTGGCCTTATAAAATCTGTCATAATTTATTAACTTCCAAAATTCTGTTGAATTGCAAATTTTATTTTTCTTGGACTAATGATCGGCATTAATTTAGTAGTTTAGGCTTCCACACATTGTCTGCTGAAAACCTTAACAGACAGCCACCATGGTCATGGTATAAAACAGTGTTAATGAGAACACAATGCAACATATGAAATGCATGTTATCTACACAGGCATTGTTTTCTTAGCATGAACCTCTTTTGACCATTTAGACAATTTTTTGCTTTTCAAGCAGCAAAGGAAGCAGCTTGAATGTCACCATACTTTTTGAAATCTGATTTTTACTTTGACAATTTTGACAAGAGAAGATTTTGAATTAATTTGTATTCTAAGCCCCACCCACCCCCCAATTTTTTTATAAAAAGTAATTACGTAGTTTCTGATTGAAATTTTAGCACTTACTGGTACACAGTTTTGGAAGTAAAGTATTTATTCACATACTTTAATGACTTCAATGACTTGGATTTGACTTACCAACATGGCCTATGAAAACAACATTGACATTTTCTTTAAATTCTTTTTCTGCTTCTTCAAGCTGTAAATTTTGTTTGGTTTCTTTTTTCTTTGTGGCAATCATTTTTGGTGTTTCCTTCTCAGTTTCCTGTTCCTCAACTTTGTCTGACTCATCAGGTCCATTTTCTGAAATTAAAATTTATGTTAAAGGAATATTATTTTTGCATTTGTGCACTATCAACCACTGAGATTTATATTTACAATATATTTTTGTCACAATACCAATATTCAATGTTTGAGACTAGATGACAGGGTTGTGCTGTGTGACTGCTGTCTCTGCATCAACATGGTCATGTCAAAGAATATTCCAATCGTGATTTCCTCGGTTGCATTTGGAATAAATCATAAGCTCAAAGTTATTACAGTATCGGTATCCATCAAAATTATCTCCACCAGTTAATACAATGCATAAGAATTATGTAAACTTACTATGCAATTCACAGGAGACCAATAGATTCTACAACAATTTAGCTAGCTCTATGTATAGTGCAGTGTTGGGCCTCCACACGGGTAAAAAATAATATGGCTTATTCCTACTTCCCTTTTTATGGATTTCTGCAGCTTCACTCTCTTCACATTTTATTAAAAAAATTAATTCACTTCATTTTTTATAACATAAATATTCTTCACTTTATATAAGCAAATCAATTATTACTTAATAGCTAGTACTAATTAATATTAACTAGTAACTTTGCATTACAGATACAATGATTTATTGCATTACAGATGTTATGAGGACAAATCTTCATACTAATAAAGCACTGCTGATACTTTTGTTTCTGTTAGTCCCCAATTTGAATTAGTCGGCAAATACAATTTACCTTCTGTGCATCCAGTCATAACTCGCCTATATATTATTTTTGGTCATCTTTAGCACATACATTACATTGAGGACATGATGCATGTGCAGTAGTTTCATGATTGGACTATTTGATTTGTGTGACTACTGGTAAATGAGAAGCATATTATGACTAAATCTTGCCCTGCAAATAAACTAGTAATAATATCATTTTTGAAGTTCAGAAAAAAATATATACAATTATTTAATAAATCTCTTGAACATTCTTCATAACTGTTACATAAACATGTTACTTTCTCTTTTAAAGCATGATGAAATGTTGTTAAACATAGGGACACTATTATAGCCATGCCGTAGTTGATTTACATTTTGAGCTGGCAAGTAATATTATCAATAATCAATGATCAATTCATCACAATAAATTTCAAAACAAGAATATGATAGTGCAATAATCTAATTCAGTGACCTGACCTGACCTGACAAGCTTCACTAAGTAGAAATTCCAAGAAGAAACTTGAAACTGACCTACTCAAGTTTCAACACTTGAAAGTGTTTTATAATTATGTGTTTCAGGGAATTACATTTGTAGTCTACATGCATTTGTATCTTGGGTTGACCAAAATTGAGAATGTTGACAATATATTCCCCAGATTTTTGAAAGCCTAATTTATAATCAGATGCACACCTCATGCTGCTCAATAAGAGCTATCACTCTCAAATACATTGCATCAAAACTCTTACTGTAATCAAGCTCACGAAGGTCCTAAATATCAATTTTGACAAAAAAAATACGCACCAAAAATACACATTTCAAAGCCCAAATTTTAATCAGGTCTAAATCTCGTGTAGCTTTATAAAATACATCTGTATATTACTCTCAAATACATTGCATCAAAACATTTCATGTAATCAAGCTCACAAAGGTCCAAAATATCAATTTTGACTAAAATTGAAAAAAAAAATCAAAGTCCAAATTAAAAAAATACATATCAAATCATCTAAACTTTGTGTAATTGACCTCACCAAGAAGTACTTACAATTTTGGTAACCACCTATTCAAAATATAATCTTCAAATGGCCACAAAATGTAAACAACTGGTTATTGGACCGACAATATATAGCACAATAGGGACACAATGTTTCTGTCAGTGGATGCCAGCGCGGGCCAGCTAATCTGCAAAATTGTTCCATGTTAGACTTAACAGACATGACGTCAGAGCTAGATATCTCCATTACATGCATTCTGATTGGTGTAGGGTACATGGCCTTCATTTGACAAGCGAATAAAGAAGCGGGTAACATATTACGCTTTTAGTCCCTTTTATTACCAAGCCAGATTCTGTTGGGCAAGATTCGGCGAAACCGGCGATGTTCGGCAATGTATGCCATGTACGATCCATGCCTCGCTTCCATATTTATAAGAAATTCACTTCAGTTTCTTAATTTTATAAAATAATCACATTGATATTCACTTTCTATAACTCAAATGGGTCACTTTTACAATTTTTATAAGATTTTTACACCTTTTTAAAACGAGTACTTCGCACTTCGTTTTTTACCCATGTGGAGGCCCAGTGTTTATTGGATGTAATACATTGCTCTTTGTACAAGCACTTTTGTAAGTGATTACCAGACCCTGAAAATGCTTTGAGTAAATTTATGTTTTAAATATCAAGTGTTCAACTAATTCAGAAACTGATTAAGGGAAGAGTAGGAAATCAAACTCCCGGTTAACCGTGGTGGTGGTGGGTACTCGCCAGTCGACCGCATTTTATGCAAATGAATGCATAGATTCCATGACCCCGGTTTACCGCGGTCGTACGCGGTAGGCTCGCATGGCAATTTACACCCTACTGTTAAGACTATGAATGGACACAATAGACTGGGAAACTAAAGGTTACTTGCCGCCAAGTTCAAATAATAAAAATCGAGTGGTACCAGAAGATTGGAAAAATCGTCTATTAGTTCGCAGAAGAACACTATTTTATTCTCACGAGTCTTGGTATAACATCGCAAAGCAACCCAGAATAATGTAGACCCCACATAATGTAAAATAATATCACATTATTTTGAATTTACATCATGTATGGTCTCAGGATTTATTTTAAAAGATTAATGTTTCGCGTATACATGTACCAATATAATCGGGCGAAGTATAAATTCCAAGTGTAAAACACTCGATGAGAGACCGCAGTTTACGTTACCTCGAGACCATGCACAGAGTAGGAAAAGCAAGTCGAAGTCGAAGTCGAAGAGGGAGTGTCACACACTTGGTGCTACAATATATACTATAACAACTGGGTGATCAGCAAAAAAAAATAGCGCACTTCTTGGCGAAACTGACTAGTCTAATAAACCTTGGCCCAAGTTTAACCCCAAGTCACGCGCTGAACAAGTGGGTTGTTACCTTGGTGACCATTCGCGCTCCGCGCGTTGACCTTGTTATTATACACATCCCATTACGCAAATTTTTACTGGCTCTGCGTTGCCTATGTAAAAATTGTTATCGTTCTGGTTGTGAATATTTAACCATTGCCGACGTGATAATGCGTTGGCTTCGTAATAATTGCGCAAACTTGTTTTTCATTGTTTACGTACTAGCTGTGAATATTTCAACTTAGCCGACTTGAAATTGCGTTGCCTTTGCAATAATTACGCAAACTTATTTTCCGTTGTCTACGTACTGGCTGTGAATATTTCAACATTGTCGACTTGAAATTGCGTTGCTTTCGTATAATTTGTATAATTTATAACTACGCGACTTAGTCGAAACCGCGACTTACTGCCTCAGAGACGGGGCCACTGAATATCTGTTGTTGATAATGATATTGTAAACAAACACGCACACACAAAACATTAAAGCCAGAAAAGTCAAGAAACAACATTTCAAATAATATTATGGTTTGACATCTATATCATTTTGAAATAAACTAAATTTCATGTAAATAAAATCCATGCGTTACAATTTACTGTAATTTCCAACTCGGGGCAGCTAAGCGTACTTTGAACACAGTATTCGATCGCTTACATTTCGAGTGAAAAAAACGTCAGGTGCTTTTGAACTACGTGCGGTTGGCACAGTAACGGGCAATGACCTCAGCGGTTCACACGCTCACGAGTACCATGGAACACGAACATGTAACAGAAAAATATCGTCTTTTGTTTTAAAGAAGATTCTGTCAACCAAGTATACATGCGCAAGGCAAGTTTATGAAACAAACAGAAAATAATCATGTCATTGTCTGCAATGCAGACAGCCTGACCTGTTTTGATTAGTTCGCCCGTTTCTCGTTTGCTGGCCATTTTTTTCTGGAGTGTGACACAAATGGTGAACATGATACTGCCAAATCAATCAAGAACCAGGATACGGCTTGGATACGCTGAAACTTTGTAAATCGTCCTCTTTTCAATTGTAGGCTTTATTCCAGTGTAATAAAGGTATACCTACATGTACCATGAAAAATTGTATTGCATCACTTTGGAAATTGATGCTAAATACATGTACTAAATACTAAACAAGCTCACATATCGTATTCATTTACAGCATCGAATATTAAAAC